GAGTCGTGACATGTTTGGAAAGGTACAACAAATGTCACGTCATGTGACCGTGTTCATCAATCGATCTCGTCTTTTATCAATGTTCAATCTTGTTCACAACTCGCCCACACCCTCATAGTCTAATTCGCACGCATGGCGAACAACGATGGCACATTCAAAGGTAAATTTATTCCTTATTTCAAGTTTTCACTCATAACATTGTTCCGCTGGCGTAGTAGGGTCTAAATATCCAGTCATCTTTGATGATCCACCACGACCCCCACGAAAAGAAGTCCAGGCATCGCGGCAGTCCAGGCCGCGCAACATGAGTCGACCTCCGCCACCCGCTGCGCCATCAGCTGCACCCAACGTCCCTACAGCTGCTTCTGGTCCAACAGGTCTTCAAGCAGGTATGACACCTGAGGCGAAAACCATTCCTATCCTTTCCAAACAACGCAACATGTCCCGACCACCTGTTCCCATGCAAGCGCAGGCCCTGACTGGGACATCGGCAACTGGCCGGGAAGCCACGCCCCCCGAGGCGCAAGCAATGCCCAGAGTTCGGAACATGATTCGTCCATCTGAACAGCCAGCTGGGGTTGCTGCAAAGACGGCTGCAGTTCTTATCCCCGCGCCAGGGGAGGCGCCAACGTTTGCGCCTCTCAAACAGCGCAACTTGGCTCGACCACTTCCTCCACCTGCACTGGCGCCAACTACGAACAAGCAAGGTGGCGCGCCAATTGAGGCAACGGCGGCTGCGGGGGCGCGAGAAAGCCCCGCTGTTCCCAAACGACGAAACTTGACTCGTCCAGCTGGGGTGACAGCTGCAGTTCTTATGCCCGCGCCAGGCGAGACGCAAACTTCTGTCCCTCTGAAACAGCACAACTTGACTCGACCAGATGCACCGGCGCCAACTATGAACCAGCAAACTGGCGCGCCAATTGATCTGCCCACTGTGCAGCGAAACATGAGCCGGCCACCTCACCCTGCGGCGCAGGGAGCAACAGATGCAATGCCCAACAAGCAACGGAATATGACCCGACCACCCCTTCCAGGCCCCGATCCCACCCCAAGAAACATGACCCGACCAACACTCCCTGTGCCTGAGGCATCCTCCAGTCACAGTGGTGCGCCTTCGCTCATCCCTCAGTTAGACAACTTTGAATACATCTGGGCTGATCCTGATTTGGTAAGGCAACAATGTGAAGAGTTTCCCAGAAACAAGGTCAGCCATTCTGACTACAATTTTCTTACTGACCTCACTTTATTAGGATGGTCATGGGGTGAAGCACCACCAAGAGTGGCTCAAATCTGCTCTCAACCTACTTTCCCGGTGTAGGGACCCCCAACAAGTATTGGAGCTGCTGCGCCGTCAAAAACACGAGGAGTTGTACCGACTTGAAATGCACCTCAGGGGCCTGGAACTCGCAGAGTTGGAGCTTCAGGATGCTCGGAAGAGTATTCGTGCTGCGGTGCCCAAGGGAGAGGGTCAAGATGACAACTAAATCATTTGTTTTTATACTGAACATTGAATCGAAGTCTTGAACAGTTGTTTCTACTTGAGATCTTTCACTTTGCCATGTCATGGGCGTGCCTAAGTTGTTTCGGCGCCCCTGTCGTTTCAACTATCCTTCGAATGTCATTGGCGCCCTTTTTGTTCGGCGCCCCTGTCATTTAAACGTAACCAGTTACTAAGAAATTCTCCATTGACATGTTCACTACCCAGTCTCCAGCCGTCACAATCTGGGCCCAGACATGGCACTTGGCACAACACAATTGAACTTGAAAAAAACCAGGTAGTCGCCATGCAATGACTTGTTGGGATTCGAACCCAGGGCATACTTATATACACTAAGTACACCTCCCACCTTAACCACTAAGCCAAGTCACCTTGCAATACAAAAGGCAGACCTTTCATGCAATGACTTGTTTGGGATTGGCACAACACAATTGCACTTAAGTACTCTGCATTTGTAATCTCATTGGTGCCCTTTCACCGAAACATATCTTTCAGTTTCTACTTGGTGCATTTGTAATGTCATTGGCGCCCCTTTTGCCGCCCTTTTGTTTCAACGCATCTTTTTCCAAACGTAGTTGTGCAGGTGGTGCCTCCCTGACCTTTTCTTGTCGGCGTCTTGTGGACTTTCGGATAAACAATGCATCTTCAATGTTTCTTTGCTCTTCAACAGAGGCCGGATCTTGGCAAGGAGGCTGCTTGGTGATTGGTTTGGGTTTGGGGCGAGGCTTTGGGAGCAGGTTTGGCGCCGCGACTCTTGAATTTGGGTCTGCGGCATCTTCCAGCCCTTCAATGTTTTCTTGCTCTTCAGCAGACCTTGGACCTCGGCGCCGAGGCTGCTTGCTGGTTTGTTTGGGTTTGGGGCGAGCCTTTGGGGGCAGGATTGCTGTGGCAGCTTCGTCCTGCTCTTCAGCAGAGGTTGGACCTTGGCGCCGATGCTGCTTGGTGATTCGTTTGGGTTTGGGGCGAGCCTTTTGAGCCAGGATTGGCGCGGCGCCGTCTACGGCGTCTTCCCCTGAATTTCTGGCCATGGCATCTTCCAATGCCAAATTTCTGGTCGTCTTTTGTGGACCCTTGCGCCGTTTGACTGTCTCATCTTCAGTTGTGGGATCAGTGGTATAGTCTTCACTTTGCACACGCGCTGTCTGTTTACGCTTTTTTTTTACAACGGGCAGATCGGATTCAGGATCATCGGGGAGACCTCGGTCCATTAACATAGGCGACGTGAAATGAGCTGGATGCGCCCCAGAGGAAGCATTTGGAGAAGCGCGCCCATTGGCTGCAGCAGTGGCAAGAGCCGCCACAGCACCCATATTCCTTGTACTGGCCGCAGGGGTGCCCATCGCTGTTGTCATTAAGGCTGCATTTGGGACCATTGCTGGATCCAGTGGCTGATCTGGGCTTCCTATCAATGTCCCAGATGGTGTTGGACCAATAGGATCCATGTGGGGGTCTGCAGTGGAAATGGTCGGGCCAGGCCTGGTGGACGATGGTCGCGTCGTAGAGGAAGTATTTGAGGAAACGCGCCCATTGGGCGCCGGAGTGGCAACAGCCGCCGCAGAACCAATATTCCTTAGACTGGGCGCAGGGGTACTGCCTTGTTGAGACAAGTCATGCAGGGCAGGGGACAGTTTCTTATCTTCTATGAAAAAAGAAAAACGAAACGTGTGACTTGCCCCACCAGTCTGCTGTCGGCCTCTCCACAATTGAAGTATTTTCTTGCAGCATGGAACCGTTAATTTGCTGGGATCACGGATCTTGACATCCTCAGGCCACATCTCACTCTCCCACAACGTGTTCCTGTGCTCATCTAAACAAAACCAGGGAACGACCACCAATGGCTTGCCTGAAGCCAAACGATAATGAATGGTCATGAATTCTCTGATGAGGGATTTAAGTAGATCGCCAGATTCAGCTCTATCCTCAGGCACAAGAGGAAGCACTGGTAGGCTGCCATCGAGGTCAAAATGCAGCGCCTTCCATTTCTGCCTCAGCCTGGTATAGCAATGTTGCGCCGGTGAATCTGAAGGCCCCTGCTGAAATTCTGCAGTTTGAAGTTCAATACTTCACTGATCAAGGGCGTGACAACATAATCATCTTACCTTGAATGTAGTTCAAATACTGGACCCAGGCTTCCAGAATGTTACCTACAGCCTCAGGAAACATATCTCTGAACTCTCGGAGGCCCTCAGGACCAAAATCGGCATTATGGTCCAACCAAGCGCTCCTATGTTGTCCATTTTCATCTATGTCGCCCACCAGACTCCAGCTGAAAACTCCTAGCTGGTATTGCTTGACTTTATCCATTTCTCTCATCATGCCCAGGCCATGTTTCGAATTGAGTCTGTTTGGTGGTCAAGGTGAGACGGCGCTGAAAGGCATGATTTGGACCGCTCACTTTCTTTGGACGTCAGGGGGCGGTACGGCATTCGTCCATTCCTCTGCCAAGCCTTTATACTCCTCTTTCTCAGCATCTGTGAGACCACCCATTACTTCCTTTAGGCCTTGTTGGTATTTAGCAAGAAACGCTCTTGACCCAGGTGGCGCGCCCTTTGCGAGCCGAGTCACGACCTCATGTATTTGCTCCTGGCGCAGGTGCGCAACTACATATCTGGTGGAAATGAGTTTGACATATCCAAACTTTGGCATCCTGATGCGTCTTCCATGGTTTTGAAACCACTCTTTGATCTTCTATGGCAAAAGCGTCAAATGAGCAGCAGTATGACTAGCTAGCACCCACCGTCTTCCTCTCCTTCCACTGCTCCTCTGTAAGCAGGGGGGGTGCCTTGGCCTTCATGAGTCTGTATACCTCATACATCAGCAGCTTCTTTCTTTCTTCCTTCGTTTTG